GCCACATGCACACACACCGCACCACGACCGCGAAAACAAAAAGCACAACAAATCAAAACCAAAACCCAAGCCACAACGACGGCAGCGGTGCGGGGAGAGGAACCCAAAGGAGACAGTCCTGCACTCACTCCCGCTTCTGCCCCGTCACCCACACGGCACCTATGCCGCCGCCACACCATTCCCCGCTCACGCAAACACACTTTTCGTCCTCTCTTGTTCTTTTTTTTCTTCGCATGCTCTCGCGTGTTGGATGTGCGCGGCACACGCGTGCGTTTTCGCGGCGGTGGACAGGAGATGCAACACCGCGCCGCCTCACATCGGAGCGTGCGTGGTCGCGGTAGAGGAGCTGGGTGCCAGTGGCACATGCCGCAGGGCGCCACACAACCACAGTGGAGGAGGCCAGGCAAGCAGCATGTGCAGGTGCCCTCTTCGTACAGGTGTGCTGCGTCCGTTTTTGTTGTTGCCGCTGCCTTTTTTCTTCTCCGTATCTCCATCCACCAGCCTCGCCCTCTTTCCACCCGAGACACCGGGGAGACTAAAACCGAAGCGCAGCCAAGTCCGGCCGGGCCTCGTCACAGACCTGGCAGTAGAAAGCATCTTTTGGGTTAAATTTGCTGCATCCGCCGTGCTCGACGGAGCACACCCAGCAGCCGGAAGGACACTCCCACGCCACGGAAAAGTCGGACTCAATGCCACCCGCGCCGCTCTGCGCATCCGCCGGTGGGTTGGGGTTTGCAGACAGGCACATGCTGCACACCAACTGGCATTGGAATTCGTTGATGAATGTGCAGTTCGGGCAGGACCACGGCGCACCAGTCATCTCCACACGCCTCGCGGCACACTCGCCGCCAGCTGCAGCCAACGGCCTCAGCGAGTCGCAAGCAATGCACCGTCGAAGTGTGGAATCGTTGAGTAAAGTACATGTGAGGCAGTGTCATCGCTCTTCCTGAAAACCCCCGTGGACCCGCGACGCGGCGAGGCAAGTGTGAAGAAACTCCTCCTGCAGCACGGGAAACGCCTCCGCCACACGGTGCAGGGGGGCGTGGTGTGGGTGGCCCACATCCGCCGGCGTGCGAGTGCCTGCTCCAGCCGCACCGTGATGGCACAGATACCGAAGCGCGTGCTCCACATCGTGTGGCGTAAACGGTTTTACCACAGATGGAAAAATGTCATGCAGGATCCGCGCCATCATGTCGATAGGCAACGAAGCAGTGGAGGCGCCCGTCGACTGCGTTCCACCCAGTTGCTCCTTTGAGGCCTTCGCGACCCGCTCGTGGAGGGAGCGAAGCTGCGCAACCAACTTCGCCGCTGGTGGTACCTGTGCGGCGCGTTCAGGCAACGCCTCAAATCCGACGCGCAGCGCCGTAAGTATTGCCAACGGCCGCATGGCCTCTTGGTGCTCCGCGGGAAGAAACAGGGCGGCCACCGGTGCATCCTCCCAGTGGTTCCTGTGGCGGCGCCGGGCACGTAGGCAGTCTGTGAAGAACTGCAGCCGGTCCATATGAGCGACGTTCCGCACCACCTCCTCCAGCACGGCCAACTCCCCGGGCGAAAAGAACATGTCATTGCTTAAAAACCGGTAGAGCAACAGTGCCCCGTTCCGTTCCACGGATGGCGCAGGCGACGGTGTCCACGCCGCCCCCGCTGGGAGCAGGTCGGCGGAGGTGCGCTCCTCCCGAAGGCGAGGAACGGCGAGTGCAAAGGAGTCCGCGACGTCCATGTAGCGTCCGCTGCTCACCACGCGCAACGCCATACAAACCCGCCCTGAGAGGTGCGTCGGATGATGCATCATCCACCGCAGCGACTCCCCCTCCGCGAGGGTGACCAGGCCGAAGTGAAGGACGTGCATTTCATCCTCACTGGAGTGTAGAGGAAGCCATTCTAGCGACAGAAACACATTCTTCAAACGACGCTCGCCGGCTCCGTGCCAAGCCTCGCGGTAGTTGTTGTCGCTCACTTGAATCGCGGAATCCACAAAAAGCAGCGGCCGCTGCGGTCGGACGCGGAGACGGCGGAGCGGGTAGAAGCAGCTGCCCTGCGTGGGGTAGTCCCTTCCGTGCGTCTCGAGTGTCTCCACCCGCCACGGGATGTGGAACTCATCGTCACGTGACGCCACAGAAACCCGCTGCTCCTCCTGCTCCTGCTCCTGCACGACCTCGGAGTCTAAGTTCTTGGAGGCGTCTGCACCCATTGC